TTTCCTGCCACTTTTTAACTTTTTTATTTTTTGGAGAGAAAGCTTGGGAAAATATACAATATATCGCCTGCATGTTTCACTTTTTCCAATTTTAATTTAGTTTAATTTTTGCGCATATCTTGCGCCACCGATCTACACCCCTGTCTTTCAGCATGGACGATAAAAAAGAAGAGCCACATGAAATCCTGCAGTTTTGGGGGCATTTGTACCATGGAAATGTTAAATATTGAAATACCCTGGCTTTCTGTTTAAGGATTTTTTTTATCTCGTGCTTTGCTTGTATGAAGTCTATAGTCTTACAATATGGATCCGTGCTTTCATTCATATGCAGTCCTTTGTGAAATTGCCATTGTAATACCTATGAAAATCGTCCAGGAGATGTGTGTACCAATCATAGCTCCTGTTATATGCGTGTGTGTCTTTATGTGGTTGTACATAAGTGTAAAAGTAAATTCCAGCATGATATCCAGGCAGTGTGTGAGTGTGTATGAGAGAGAGAGTGTGTGTGCATGGTTGCTGTTTAAGTCCGTCCCTGCAATAAAATATGGATTTGGTTGAGTTATATCCCATTTTTTAATCAATATGCACATCTTGTATGTTAATGATGTTTTTTATTTTTATTTTTTATGCATACTTATTTTACAACCAGCAACTTGGCCTATTGTAGGAATTTAAAATCGTTATTTCAATTTGTGTTCAGAAAGTTTGAGTTCCAAGAAAAGGGTCAAGGGTCAGAAGGGGTGAATTTGCAGGGAGACTTGGAACAAATATCAAAAGATTGATAGGAGTTAAATTCGCTTTTTGCCACAGTAAATACAGGATTTTCATGGGTTAAGTTTAGTTAGTATTGATGGGCAGTCTTATACCGCCACCTGGCGACTGCTTTTTATATACTAGAGTCAAGGAGCAGATTATTGAGTTGATATTATAAGTAATAATGATAGCAGAAATTAAATTGAATAGTTAAAGTATTTCTTTTTATTTAGAAGTACATCACAGTTTATTTTATTTAACCATTTTACCCCCCCAAAAAAGTAGAAATCGAAAATATATGTAATTATTTATTTCTATTTCTTTCTGTGTGAATGAACCAGAGCTGCAGTTTAAGGTAGTAAATAAAAAATAAGTCTAATTCCACATATTATGTATGCTCATACAACCATTGCTTTTACTAAATCAATGAGAAACTATTTATGGTATTTTAAAATATTACTAGGAAAAATGCAAAACAATCCAGTAAAACTTTTCAAGCACGACGTGACCCGAGTATTTACATTTTCAGCCGTACTCAGTATTTGTATACTTCTTCCACTCTTATGACAGCAAGATTAAATATTTGGATTACCTGAACTGAATATATAAGGGGAAAAAATTAATTATGGTAAAAAATAAATTAACAAATAAGTACATTAAGAAATTAATAAATACATTTATCAGTACAAAAAAAACCATATGCCATCAATTCTTCCCTGCATAACTGATAAATTATTGTTAGATTAAATTTTCTTTTGTAATGAAAAATCCCATAAGGAATACACTGTTCTGCTCAGCTAAAGAAACTCGAAAACCCACTTAACCAAACCGTGTGAACTGAATGAAAGGACTGCTTCGCAAATCCTTCAGCTCTTAAGTGTGTAAAACAGACATATAGTAAATACAATTCATCATCATATTTCCCACAATAAAAATAAAACCCTTGGATTATTAATGAACATGGAAGTAAAACAACAAATACAAAGATATTGATATTTATTGATATTTGCAAACATTGTAAAAAAAATTATGTGATATCTGTTTAAAAAGCAAATGTAAGAAAACAATAAATTAAGTTAAATTAAGTTCTTATGCCTTCAAAAGCCAAAGTTAAGTTGGCAGTTCATTTAAAGTTTATTTAAATTTTTCTAAATAAATCGTGCGCTAAATGTTTTCCATACAGTTAACTATAAACTGCGTGAATGTCGTGTCAGTTCCAGAAATGTAGAGATAGATAGATAGATAGATAGATAGATAGATAGATAGATAGATGATAGATAGATAGATAAAATATATGAAATAAAACAGCTAAAACTAGTTCTCACCCATTTAATAGATAGTACCTCACTCATTGAATTATTTGATTATAATTAAATCTGATTTTTTAAAATTAAAGTAACAGGTAGATTTGTTGCTGCCAAAATACTTTACATTTCAGGAAAATGATTTGCATAATAATAATAATAAAATAAAGAAGAATATCAGATCTATTTGTATTTCTATTAGTTGCATCACATTTTATGGTAAATAATAAAAATGTTTCGCCATTCCGTCAATTTTATTATCCAAACCCCTTTAGTCCTTGGATGACATTGTTTCATATTGGCCATAATATGGCAAAAGTCTTCATTTGCATAATGCAAATAGAACATCTAACACCAGACTATTTCCCTCTTTAAGTGAATAAATAAAAATATAGATTTACCTTTAATAAAACTGTAAAAATCGTGAAAAACAAACAGTCAATAACCAACAAAGGCAGGCCCATAAACAAACAGCTTCTTTTGAGGATGGCTGAAAATGTGAAGAAGAAGTGAAGCCTGAACAGATAGTATGGTGGCCATGACGTGAAGACAGGACGTACAGCACCAGTAGTGGTGTTGCAGCCTTCTCACGTCGGGGGGCGTGAATGTGTCAAATGACACGTTTAAAGATGGGTTACAGCCAGTGAGATGTGTGACTGCACAGCGTTTTACTGGGAAGCAAGAGAGCAATCGGAAAAGCCTACAGGAAGCGCACTGGAAGTGATTTTAGGAGGGAAGCAGCTCATTGGTCGGGGTAAAATGAGAAGAGTTCTTATTGGATGAGGAGAACCAAAACAAACGCCCCCCAGCCTGTGAAGGAACAGGCAGACGTCACGCCTTCCTGTTCTCTTTCCAGACATAAGCCATCTTTGAGTGGAAAAGCTGAAAGTCAAGAATGGAAATTTGCTGCCCCACCTAGGAAGCGTTGGGGATTACATTTTGTTTGTTATTTAACTGAACACAACTATTCAATTATACAGCGACAATATCCAGCAAAGCCTTTGGTTTATTATCATTTTGTCTACATGTTTGTTGTTAAATAATAAAAAAAATAAATGTGTAGAATTGCTAGGCTATTTCATTGGCATGATCATATCAAAAGGAAACAAAAATAAAATAAAAAATAATAATAATAAAAAAAAAACTATTAAAAAAAACAAAAAAACAGTTTGAACTGGATCAGTGCCATCACAGTATTTTCTTTAATCAAATGAAATACATTCTAAAAACAGTCACTTGCCAAGTTTCCACTTCCGAAAAGAAACAAACTTGATTAATTCGGAGTAGAAAATGCAGTATTGACTGATCAGATCAGTTCACACAGCAGAATGCCCCCCCCCGTCTCTCTGTCATTCCATCCAGCGCCGCTGCTGCTCTTTACATTGACCTTCGCTGTCTCTGAGTGTAATGGAAGCGACGCCTTCTTTAACCTTCAGGACACTCGGTGTAGTCCCGCTCAAGCCTGCAAAGGGGTAATCTTGGAGATGCTCTTGCAAAAGAGCGTGCAGACTTTGGCAAACATAAGCTGATCCAGGATCCGTGAGAAGCGGTCAAATGCAAGCACTTGACGGAGATGATATGCAATGTTCCGCTCAGGGCCCAGGTTTTCTCCCTCCTGGTTATTATCATGTCATTTGGAGTGAATTGTGCATCCTGTATAAAGTTCTGTTAGGAAAAGTCCTTGTATAGAAAAAAAAAAAATAAATAAAAAAAAATAAATCATGCATACGTCATGCTTTCTACGAATAGCAGAGCTGTTTCATCTTTAAATAGATAATTTAGTTTAGTTTTCCTTTTTTCCAGAAATAATATGTTGACAACTAGACTTTTCAATTCCGATTTAGCCATAACCAAGAAACTGAACGCGAGACTTATTTAGCTCCTGTGATCCGCTTTCTTTACTTTTCAACCAGTTCTTATATGGACCTTGTCCTTTTGTAGTTTTTTTCCTGGTTTCATTAAAAAATTAAAACTTGTTTAGATTGTAAATCCAATGGGGAAATCAGGACTGAAATTATTTAATCACAGATTTAGGGCATGTTTAAGACCAACAATGATGCGCTTGTAAGTTGAAATTTTCGGTCATTTTAACAAAATTCTGCCTATTAATAAAGAGTAATGGTCACATGGACCATGAACTTAGGCTTCCTTTCTTATTATTAGACAGACGACACAAAGTGAAATCTGCCAACTAGATGTTGTGGGTTGGCTTCAGACAATAATAATAGATACAAACTGCCCGCATATTACATATGTATATAAATAGATGTTAAGCAAAGAATATCAAAAGAAAGAATAACATGTAAGAGCAAACAGAGTAGCTGCAGTATGCAAATGGTACAGTGTTTTAAAGATAATGAGCAGTCTGATAGCCAGGGAGGAGTAACCATTTAACTATTTAATAACAATCGAAAAATTGTTTTCTTTACACAATTTCCTTAAATATACCGCAATTACTCACAATTTGTATTTATATTAATATATTTATCAAAATAATTCATGCAACTCCCCCCTATGCAGCATACAACGATGTCAGCAGCCATTGTTACATTTTCAATACTAAAAATTTAGCTGTAATTACACTAACTCTTCTATGTGTTTGTTGATACCAAGTTGCTCTTCTGCCAGGTTTTTCTTTTTAGAACATTTTAAGAATTTAATATCTTTTACACAACACAGCAGGGTTTAAGGAGGAATTACACATTCCTATTTAGAAATAAAGAAAAAGCTAAAGCAAGCAATTATAATGAAGACAACATCCGTCTAAACTTAAATCCTCTCTGTATATTTGTTTAGATAGAAATTGCAGAGCGGAAATGAAATAATGAATTCTCGGAATTTCTCTTCAAGTAATATAACTAAAAAGTTATTCCCCGATTGGTGTCTTCTTATTCCCTCCAGGTTCATTTAAATAAAAACGATAATAAACGTCTGAATAGCAGCTTAGTTTACTCTCCTTTTTATTTCCTCATATATAGTCCAAGTTATGTGCATTTTTTCCTCGGGACAGCTTCGCTTTTCCTGATTTTCCAGAAAGGACTGTTCCCGTTGACCGTGGAGTTGATCGGTTCTCCCCCCCCTGTGTGGTCCGCCTGCGTGGCCTCCCCGCACTTTCTTTTTCTGTCGCCGCAATCTCCCGTCTGCTCACATTTCTGTCACCTGTGGATAAATCAACAGTTTCTCACTGAATCTTGATCCAAATGCATCGAGTATGGCGCATTTATATATCGATGCTTGTTCATTTGGAAGCTGAGATTGTTTCATGTTTCAGTCTGTTCCACTATAAGGTTGGGACAGCAGCGCTCCGGAGCTATTGCTTAAATTCATGTCATTCAATTAATCAAATTCAGCCGCTTTAAGAAAAATAAAAATGGTTTACTTATAAAATCCCATATTAGCAGATGGAGGCAGAAATGTAGGGCCTCACTCCGATTTACGCAAAGACGCATTTACCAATTTAGGGAGAAAACGCCCCTTAGAGCTTGAATTCAGCACTAATCTTCTATATTTGCCTGATCAGCGCACTTTCCCTTATGTTTGAGCTTCTTTTTTGGGGAGTGGGGGGTCACCCCTCAGAATTCTACACAGTCTTTATATGCTGAATTAAAGAAAAGGCTTTTAGTCGCAGTTGTTGTGGCCTTCTTAACCATTAAATGAAAACAAAACAAAAAAAAGGCTATTGGTCAAAGTCTAGGATGCTTTATTCCAATCAAAGACCGAAACTACAGGAGGTTACTTTGCTGCAGACAGGGGGCACATATTTAGCCCCCATTTACAGCCTTTTAGGCCTACCTGAGGTGGTGTTAAACTGTATTCCTACATATCCACCCCTTTACTCTCGATTGTTTACTTTTTGTCTGAGGAGATTTTATGGCACAAGACTATACATTCTCCAAAGGACTGAGCAAATGCACTTCTACCAGTCCTAATAAACTCTTTCCCCTTTTTTAAAAAATGTTATTCTTGTGTAATCTAACTTTTTAATCCAAATACAATTGGATAAATCAATCATGCGTGTGTTTTTTTTTTCGTCTCAGACTTTAAATATTGCGCCAAAGAAACTTAGGATAATAATATGGCTAGAGTAAAGAATGAAAATGGTGTATCAAGTTAATTTGTTTTAAAATAAAATCTAAAAGAGTTAGTAAAATGAGACTACTACTATCCAGAGTCAAAGTATGAACAATGACACTTTTGCTGAATGGCCCTCTAGTTACATTTGGTTTAATAAGCAGATTTTTAGGTAAATTTGTTTTATTTAGTAAAAAAAAAAAAACGTTCTGGTCCCCCAATCCTTCTAGTGGACATTGCTACGTCGAAGTTTAAGTTCTACTTTCCAAACGATCCTGTAACATAAAGCCTGCGTGATGCAGGAGGTAATTAAATGGAACTCCATCCGGGGCACGCTGGGCCCTTCGCTCTTTCTTAGGAGAGACCCTGTTCCTCCCCCGAACTTGAAGTCGACCGTAGAGACAAAGGTTTTGGCTTTGAAAGTTTTTCTTTTACGGATCCAACGCCAGACTGAAAGCCTGCTGGAAAACAGAACCACGCCAGAATACTGAAAACGACTTTTTAATAAAAAACACATTTGTCATAAAATGAACCAAAGCTTTGTTTGATTTCTTTTTTTATTATTATTTTATCAAAAAAAGGTTTCTGAAATTCAATACTTGCATTTGGAGAAACTTTTTAGAAGGCTTATTAAGCGTGAGAAAAATATCTTACCTCAGTTGCGCATGGACAAATGTTTCTATAATTATTGAAATTCCCCAGCTGCTGACTTTGAGTCCGCGTAGGTGGCGACTTCCCATCACGCCTGGCCAGTTTTGTGGTGTCTGTCTGGCTCTGCTGTGGAGAAAAAAAAGGCAAGTAGAATACTATAGCAGCTATAAAATCGAAGGTCTGTGCAGAGCTGGCTTTGCGGTTTGTTTCCTGGGCATCCTGTCCTCAATTACAGCTTAAAAGCTTCAGCACAACTCATAGAATTTGCCTAGATTGACCCTGAGAGGCGGAGCGTGCGACCGCAAAGACACTGAAGTCGTTTGTGTCCCCTGCAATGTAATCAGAAAAAAATCCAACCTTTAGGCAAGAAAAAAAAAAAAAAAAGCTTGATATCGTTTGGTGTTTGCATGTTTTTTCTTAAATCCAGATGATGCGTCTGTGGGCAACCTGACTTCATTAAGCAGTGTGTTGTGTTTCAGATGTGTTACATGAATCCGTGTATGCGCCATCAGGCTGTGGGGGCTAGACCAGCCGCGGCGATCTTAATCCAAGCTCAGGTCTCTTATTCACAGCACATTAGAGTCAGGTTGCAGCCTCTCTAAAACAGGCTTCATGGTGGCCCCCCTGAGCAGAGTAGAGCAGGGCGGAATGTTCTTTGTGGTATGTTTACCGGATGAAACAGCACAGATGCATCTTTGTATGCTCTGCAGAGTTTTCTTTATTTTTGTTATTGTCTTCTGCTTGCTGAATACAGTGTTTGCATGTATCCTTCCAGCAGATTTGAAATGTTTGTGCTGGTGATGTTTAAATACATTTTCTGCAAGGACTTTCCAAGTGATATTTCAGCTTCGACTTTAAATTAACAATGCAAGTCACAGCCATGCAGGGAATTATACATGGCGCATCCACCTTTGATTTTAGGGTTGAGTAGATTTAGGCATTCTCGTTAAATGTTTATGTTAGTCACGTGAATAAATGAACAATATAGCAGGTTGAGTGTAATAATTAAAGGAGCGAGACGTATATATTCTCTTATTTGTATTAATCTTGCTGAGCAACGCAGAGCAGTTTGCATATTTTGATACGAGCTTAGAAAAACAGCCGTGCGTAAAAGTATAGGAATCCCAGGCCTGTTTTGGAGCGTCTAAGTCATATGATAAAACATGATTTATACATCAGATAATGTTCTAAATCTCCTTTTAAGCAAAAATTAGATAAGACCTTAAAAAAAAGAAAATTCGGGTCTATAAATACATTCAAAGCTAAATCCTGGGGGCGGTTTTAAACTTATACCTGCATTCCTGAATTCCATTACACGCCTACTTATTTTATTCTAATATTTGTTACATCAATATAATAAGCAAATTTAAAGTGCTGGTGTATTCCATGCCAAAAAATAAATGAATAAAACCAAAAGTGCATTGTTGTTCCTATAATTTAAATTATGTATTTTTGTGGATTTTAATTTCACCTTCGTTGTTTTCTTCTTAAAAACCCAAAAGGCAGTTATTTTGGTTTGGTGCTGAAATACCAAGGCACGGCCTTTCCGGTTAAAACAGCATAGCCGCTACTTTGAACATGACCCTGATAACCAAATGCTCACTGGGACAAATGCTGCGCTGTAAAAAAAAAAAAAAAAAAAAAAAAAAAAAAAAAAACAGATGATGACTGATACAACTCTTAAAAGAACCTTCATAAATAAGCTAGATCCCTCCTTGGTTTCAGAAGACTGAGCTAAATGCTTCTAAAGCTTTAGTTTAGTAGTAATTTTGATTGTTCTTTGAGGAATCGGGCACCCTAGAAAACAAAATCCCTATTAAAGAGTCTCTTATTATGTTGATTTTGAAGCTTTTGATGCGTTTGGCATAAATTTAGGCTTAAATCTTTTTCCAACTAGCCACCAATGTCTTTTTCTCCTCAGATGCATGTTAAGTAGTTCATTTTAATCCGGCATGGTTGTAAACCACCAATGTCAAGCTTCAGGACACACACCAGTCATGTCTCTCACACTCCTACACACTCCTTCCCCTACCAAAGAATTACACACCCAGGGGCTTGGAGGCGCGCACGCACGCACGCCCACGCACACAACAACCGGAGCCTGAAAATCTGTCAATTCCTGCTGCGTGGTCACGTGGGCTCCTCCTTAATGGAGTCGATGGAGATGGCTCTCCACGTCAGCTTACGTCTCCCAATTTGTGCTTAGCGAACCTGCTTCAAAGAGGCGAGAGGCACGGCGCTTCAGAGCCATGTTCGGGGTGGTTATAGAAGAATCTAAGCCCAGCACAGAGTTGTAGAAACGGTCGAGCTACGATGATGGATTTTGACGAGCGGGTCCCCGTCGGATCGAACATGTACTTGCCCAGTTGCACTTATTACGTGTCGGCGGGGGCCGATTTCTCTGGTCTTCCCTCGTTTTTGTCCCAGACCCCTTCCACCCGCCCAATGTCATACTCCTATTCCTCCAACCTGCCGCAGGTCCAGCCCGTCAGGGAGGTGACATTCAGGGACTATGCGGGCATCGAGGCGCCCGGTAAGTGGCCGCACCGGGGGAACTTGCCCCAGTGCTACCCGAGCGCGGAAGACATGGTGCACCGGGAGTGCCTCTCTGCGCAAACCGCGGTGGTTGGTGACGTGTTTGGTAAAAATAGCCCCTACCACCACCACCACCATCACCACCACCATGGCAGCGGCGGCGGGGGAGCAGCTGGCTCCGCCGCGGTGGCGGCCGCCACTTTCTATGGGAGCGTGGGCAGGAATGGCGTGCTGCCGCAAGCTTTCGACCAGTTCTACGAAACGGCATACGGGAACGCGTCGGAGAACCCATCATCGGTGAACACCGCCTTCTCAGGGGACAAAACGCCTGCGAGCAAGCAGCCAGAGCAGGCGCCGTCCTGCCGGGACTCCGAGGCGAAGGAGCAGCGAGATGAGAGCAGCAGTCCAGAGCTTTCTTCCGGCAACAATGAGGAGAAATCCAGCAGCGGCAGCAGCAGCAGTACGTATTTAAACTCAGGGCTCTGCTTATAAGGGAGAAAGTTTGCAATCTTGCGCGCTGCTGTTAAAATTTTTATATGCTGTTTTATAAGCATATAAGGGTTTATAGAGGGCCTGTAGACCCCCTTCCATCTCCACCCCCACCCAGCTTCCAACAAAAGTTTGTTATAAACTGTAGGATCACGTGTTTGGAATTGAAATTGGCCGTGAAAGAAAGCAGGGCCATCATATACGTTGTGTTTCATTTTCGCGTGTTTTGTTGTACTTGCCGTGACGCGCACGGAGCGAGGATCTTCATATAGAGCAGCAGCAGTTATTTCCATTTATGATGACCGTGCTAGTTTTACGCTTTCTTTGCTTTAAAAGACCTCTGGCTTGTAAGAAGGGTAGCGCCTATGAGCTTGAAGCTGTGGCGCACATGATCTGGTCTGTTAAAGCTGTAATTTCGTGTTTTTTCCCCCTCTTCAATGAGCAATAGAGCTAATTTCTCAAACATGTTTGCACAAATGACCTTGTTATAGTGATCTAGATCAGACTGCAATGGATTGTCCCGCAAGCCTGCAACCCTAGCTCATTTTATCTTGTGCATTATGATAAAAAATTTATCAAAATAATGTTTTACAGGCAAAATTCGTTGGCTTTTTTATAGATCTTCTGTTTATTACAATGCCTACAATGATTTTTTTCCCCTGTGCTTTCCAGGTGGACAGAGGACGCGCAAGAAAAGATGTCCATATTCCAAATATCAAATCAGAGAACTTGAACGAGAATTTTTTTTCAGCGTTTACATCAACAAAGAGAAGCGACTGCAGCTTTCGCGGATGCTCAACCTCACTGATCGACAAGTCAAGATCTGGTTTCAGAACCGGCGGATGAAGGAAAAGAAGCTGAACAGAGACAGGTTACAGTACTACACGTCCAATCCTCTGCTTTAGTGGACCCAGAAACGAGGAGAAGCACATTGCTTCGGTTCCCCCCCTCCCCTCCTGTGGGACTACATGGGGTTTGTTCACAGACTCACTGACTTCTCCTCAGTGTACCTCGTGTGCTATACCACAGTGGCCGGCGACGGCAGCAATAACACTGCTAGATTGTTAATTTCAAGTTCGAGGACACCGAATGTGCTAATATGAAGCAACGATTCATGGGCCACGATTTTACGCATCACACTGATTTTGATAAGAGAAAAAGAAAACGTAGAAACTGGTTTTCTTTGTGCGCTCCAGGTCTTTGTTTTTGCCAAATGCCCATGCAATTACGCCCTGATTGCTGTGATTTATCAGGGGCAAAAAATAAATAAAAAAGCAGTCATTAATGGACTGCTTGAGTGTATTTTGTAATCAAAAATTATATTTTATTTCATTTTTTTTGTCTGTTGTTTAAATAAGAATTGTACTGGATTTAAACGTCAGGCGAATATGTTGATCTATATAGGGAGACTGGTGTAGTCTACATTGGTGTGACCAAATAATGAGTCCGTATACGGATTGCAATGGTGGTTATCTGTTTATATGTTTGCTTATTTATTTTCTTTGGCCACTCGTTTACTATATCTTCTTTTTGTCACGGCTGTCCGAGTCCCGTCCACGGACAGGTTTGATTTCCCAACTTAATCCAGCCTTACTGATGTCTGACGGCCGCGTTTGGAAGAAAAAAGGGGTTGACTATTTATAAAATGCGAACCTTTTTGAGCGTAAAGCCATGCCGTTGAACATATGCAGGCCTAAACCAGACTGATAAGCTCTGTCCGCTTGGATCCGTGCGGAGTTGCACTGAGGTGTTCACGCAGGTGTAGCTTAGATCGTGTCTCTCCAATCTTTGGACGTCTGTGCATCCATTTAATGGGTAGTACTTGTTCATATAAAAAAACTAGAACACCCTCTTAAAAATCTCACTATTAAAACCCATGGTGTCTAACAAATTTCTCCAGAAAAAGGTGATTAAAGGTCACAAATGGTGGACCAATTAGTGCCACTTTCCAACCACATTTAGACATCAATCAAGTTCTTTAAACATTTATTTCATATTTTACTTTCGACTTTAAATTTGCTCAGACGAAAAGTAATATTTTTCTTTCTAATCCATGAAATTTCATTGCAGCATTCTGAGGCGACATGTTAAGCCTTAATATTAATGTGAAATTTCAAATAAATGTTTTCAGTGTTAAACACTTTGCAAATATAAAATTTAAAATTCTAATCTTTTTTTTTTAGCACAGAAAAATAGAGTACACAATGTGTCTTATGTTTAGTGCACCATTTGTGTCCAAATTTGATTTATAAGACGTTGTGTATCAAAACTGGTTAGGCAGTTTGAACAGTATTCTTTCACTATCAAAAGAATCAGAATTTCTTTTCCTCTTTGACTTTCTAACCACATTTAGGTGTCGCTTAGGTGGGATGAAGTGTGATTTTTTCCTAGTTTTAGTCTTAGAAAATGTTGCTGCAGGGGTCTATATGGTGCAGTAAAGTTAAAAAAAAATCGTTGCCACTTTCAAAAATATGGCCTGTTAAGTTTTGAAAAAGAAAAGTCTTCATACACTTTTACCAAAGAAAACTGTCTTTTTCAGACCAATAGGATGTTTTTAGGTCTTTAGAACCACCCAAATTTAGCCTACAGAAATACACTAAATGTCAAAAATGGTTAGAAACACTTTTCAACCGAATCTAGATATCAATAAGTCTAGTTCTCCTTAAAATTCGCAAAAGGTTTGTTCTTAGCTGTAAACAAATTGTTTCATTTTGTCCATGTAGTAAATTAAATTTTCTGAAGCGTCTTAACGTGATTACCCCTTCAAGGCTTTACAAAAGATTTTGTGTTAATTTTTTTTTAATGTTTGAAGCTTCTTTCCACTTTTCTCTAAATATTGCTTTTTAAGTTTCAGTTGGAATTAACCTGAACAATGTTGCCTACGTCAGAAATGTGACACCTGGCTAATCCAGTCCATATTTAGCCTGAAGACATCTAAGTTTAGACTTGATAAAATTATTTCATCCAATGATCTTTCATCTACATGTAGACAATGGTTCTGATTTTTAAGTTGCACCCATATTTGACGTTGTTTTTCAAACATGTTGAAACCTTCTCTTGGATTTAGCAGGGAAAGGATTTGATCTGTTGTTGGATTTCTCTTCATGTATTCACGCTGGTTCTTGTCATTTTCAGAGTGTGCATTAATTGCAGCCTCAATCAGGGTAATCGCATTGAACAGTTGCTTTGTTATGGCCAAATTATTGTGTATTATACTATATTTCCAAATAAATAAAAAAATAAAACCGAGTTCCACGATTCCTGATGAATAATTTAATATTGTTTCTTTGCTGTTTTTCTTCTTCTGTTTTTACAAAAGAAAAGATATTGTCTCCACATTTACTCTGAATAAATACACAGAAAGAAAGGATTAGTTGGCCTGTTTGAATCTCCTTTTTCATCCAATTATAGATTAAAGATGGACGCATTTTCAACGATTCCTCGTGTTATTAGACTGTATTGGTCATTTGAATATAAAGTTACTTTGCCCTTTCTTTGTCTAATTAACAGATTTGCACAGGGTGGGAGTAGTGTGGGGTTTTGTCTGTTGTTGGTAACATGTTTGCTTCCGTGACTCGTGATTCTTTTGCTTTCGTAAATAGGGTCAACGCATTAAACCAACAGCTTTGGTCTGCCCAAGTCGTGTATTATATTTTATTTCTAAATATTAATAACCCTCAGTTTGAATGCTTTCTGCAAAATAACTTAATTCCAAATTAAGCCATTTTATTATCTTTCCTACATGCTGTTTTTTTTTTTTAGCTTGATTTCACCTCCATGTGTCACATGTGCGGAGGTAAAGTGTTTTACGCACAAAGGATTAACATATTAAATGCGCATAATAGTGGCAAATGGCTGCCCACACATGCAGGATTCAATAGAGGGGAATCACATGCAAAAGATTAGTCGTCTCAAATGCAAGTTGGGAGCAGCCCAACCATCCAAGGTCACCCAAAGAGCTCTAGGTTTCAATGTTTAGACGAGCTCAAGCAAAACAAAGACAATTTGTCTGGACTATTCAGCGCATATATCAAAAATAATATTGATTTTTGAAGTTCAAATGAACCATAAACAGTTGAAATGTGTCTTTATATTATGCTCTGTGGGAACTTTAAGCCACCTCACGTCATTTATCATCTGATCCTTAACCAACAAAGTTGCTTTTAGTAAAAAGAAAAAAAAACTTTTACGCGTTTAATTTCTTGCTTTTTTCAGACTAAGATCTTTAGGTGAAAATATCTTCCAGCCCTCTCTCTTTGGATCATTTAACAGTTTTTCTACGTGCCAGCTGTCATTTTGCTGACTGGCCCTGGAAACACTCGTCCAGCGGCAGCTCCTCGGGCGAGGGGGTCGCCATATTTGCTGTTGTTATCACAGTGTTTATGGGAGCTGGCCGCAGCGCATTGGCGTTCATATATGACAGTCAAAAGGGCCATAAACGCTGGGGAGAGAGAGGCTGAAGTTTATGGTTGCTTCTCTCTGCCATAGTCCGGCCTTGCCTGACTTCCCTCGCCTCGCCATGCGCATCCTTTACTGCGCGTTGGAATTCCGTCCCTAATTACGGGACATCCTCCCCCGTTACCACGGCAACGCTGCCATAAAAGCTGTCTGAGGGTCTGGAGCATTTGTACAATTGGAGTGCTGGTGCAATAAACCGTCTGAGACCCAAGGTTATTAACTGTTACCACGCAAAGCGACAGCAACGACAAGCAGAGGACAGGATGGCAGGAGAGCCTTTGCTGTGCTTTGCTGCGTTGACTTCATTTTGGAGGATATCCCCCCTCGATTCAGGTCCCCTGAACCAAGGACTTGGCGCTCCTACCACAGGGCGGCAGTATTGGGACCAAAGTCATGGCCTTGGAGCTGCTGCTCCAAACGGAATGCAGGTAGGGGTTTCTCAAGCAAAACTCTGCAGCAAAAATGCCTTTTCTATTTAATTGGGAACAATTGTGTCTGTAGATGTGTTTTTGGTGCCAACTTGGTAGAACAAAAAGTCCCATTCAAGCCCTAATAAGGCAACACAAATATTCTAAGACATCCATGCTACACGTGCTTTTCATTTTGCTGAGCTTGACCGTTTTAGTGGCTTAGATTTAAGCTTGCCAACTTTTTTCCTGGAGAGTTAGTTTTGCACCCAGTCCAAATGTTTTGCATTAACTTAACCCTCTTCAGTTGATAAAACTTGGACTCAGATGTGCAAAGCATACATACACCATTGATTCTTACTTACAAAAACATATCACCACCCAGCTCTGAAAATATAATCTGTTCTGTTTTACGCACAGTGTTTGCGTGCCAGATCCCACCCAAAAACTGCTATTAAAGGGCTCGATTTTCTTGATAGAGCTGCAGCCGCGTCTCCCTTTTCCTTCCTGCAAAGCAGAGATAAACTTTTGCTATATTCGGTGTCAGTTCTGGATCGAGCCTTTCTCCCTCAACCCCAACCACCTTTTGTCTGTCTCTCGTGAAAAATAAATGCTTCCGCTGGATGTAATAAAACGCCGCATTATTGTTCATAACTGCACTCAAGACGAACATGATACGAGTCAAGCGGCCTCCTCGGCCACCATTATATGGGTCTGATCAAAGCCATCGGTTGAGGTAAAGTGTTTTCAGGGTATAATAGCACGGCAGCTGTGAAAATGAAGATTTAATAGCAACAATTAATAACGGTAACACAAAGATATCGATAGCTGCCCTGCACTTCCTCTTCCTCAGCATGAAGAATGCCTCCCCAACATGAAGTGTGCGCATTATTAATCGGTGGTTTCAGTTTCTTGTCTGGATCGTGTGTCTAAGAGGAAACTGGCCTCTGTGAGGAGAGATAGACATTTTGTCGCGGTTATTTGTGAGTAAATTTGGTGAAATGGTGATCCGATAAAACTGTGTTGCTTTAAATTGATACATCCAAACAACTGAGAGTAAGCATTGCTTGTGTCACGCGCAGCAGCAATTGACAAATGTCGGTCATCGACGCGGAAAACACTGCAGGTTTGAAAGTAAATTGCATCGATTAAAAAAAAAGACCCATTCATAAATGTTCTAATTTCAGAACAGCAAAAAAATGAAGAAACAAATAAAAATAAAATAAAGTAGACAACCCAGATTAAAAAGGGAAAAAAAAGGAGATAACAGGAGAACGCAAAGGAACTCCTAAAATGTTTTAGGAAAAAAAAAAAAATCTTTTTACATTTAAATTTGGCATTATACTAAAGAATAAGTTAGGCACACAAGGCGGTTTTGGCGTAACTGACATTTATTAGGAATTTATATAGAAAGAGAGATACTGGTTTTATCAAAACTAACACTATTACAATATATTAATAAAAAAGAAATTAATAAAAATAAAGATGAAACTATTATTGTTATAATTTAGGATTATTATACTATAGTAATTTTATGGTTCAACAAAAAGAAATAATACTAATAGAAATAAGAAAAAATGGAAAGACATGTTAATAATAATATTATCATTATTGATATTTTCTAGGGTTTGAATAAACAATATACCGTTAAATAAAGCTTATATATATTCCTAAACTTAAAAGGGACCCAAAAATGTAAATAAATAGCATGTATAAACCTATATAAAGATTATAAGATTTTGAATAGATTTACATTTTTAAAATGAATAATACTTTTCCATTAAATTCATTTTTAGTGTGTTTACTACTTGTAGGATGATCATCCTCTGTAAGAGAAAACTGAATTATCAAAGTAATTAAAGGAGTTTGATGTTTAGCAAGAAAGCAAGGCGCTAGTTTTTAGTCTTTGTTTGTCAAAAACAATATGTCCCTATCTTTTACGCGCAGAGCCTTATGGTGGCCTCTTCCTTTCTCAACATGATTTGAATCTCACGAGCATTATGTGATTGAATAATTTTAGACAAGATATGTGCGATTCGGCCACAACATTCATAAAAGGGGAGACTTTTTTGATTAAAGATGCGTAATATGCAAAAACGTTGGAAATTGCGCAGTTTTAGTTCATACCATACCATAGTTCATATCAGAGTGATCATTTACTGTCCTCATGCTCAAAGATGCAATAGATCAGACCTTATTAAATCAATGGCAAATCCTTTCTACAGTCTCAAAAAAACCCAAAAACAAAACAAAAAAATATTTACAGTCACTGACACCCATCATTTTGCTATTATGTCTTTGTTGGTTGGTTATATCAATTCTATACATTAAAAACAAAAATGTCCACTATTATGAAAAGCATGTAGGCTATATTCTAATTTAGCTCTATGTCAGTTATTGCGATTATGTGGATTTTGGATTTGTTCCAATTTAAATGGTTGCTAGATTTACCAGTTATAATGCTTGAAATGTAAAATATTCAAATAATTGCTGCCACTGATTGTTGAGGTTTGTGGTAATATTTGATTTACAAGCACTCTTTAAAAAAAAATAAAACCTGTCGAAATTTTTTTCACGGTTTGTCAATCATAAGCAGTGTTGGACTTTAGCATCTATCGCTTTTGCTCAAGTTTGTGGATTAAGCCGAAGAGTAAAATCACTGATTGCTCTGCTCTCTTCTTCCTCTGCCTGAGCTCCATGATGGATTTGTTTCAGATTGCTACGTAGCCTCGGAGTGGGAGGGGACTGTTCCTTCTTCCTGCATTTTCATTGGTTTTACTGTTCTCTCAGCGGCGAGGGGGGTGCCTCTAATCATATCCAGCATGTTTTGCACAAGAAATGTCAGCCAGAAAGGGCTATCTTCTCCCTTCGCCAAAATACACCACAATAATGTCATGTTCGGACAGCCCGTCTGGAAACGCGTTTTTAGTGGATTCCCTCATCAGTGCCCGCACCGAGAGCGGCGGAGGTCACTATGCTGGCAGCGCAGTATGCGTGCCGCACAGCGCCACAGCAGAAGTGCCTTACGGACTACACAACTATGGATACTTCCCAGGTATGACCAAACGGAGTGAGGTGGGTCCCCAAAATATGGTCCCCGCCTCAGGTTCCTACATGTCCAGCATGGAGATGTGGATGGACGCGCAGAGGTCATGCCGTATGGACCAAGAACACTCTGTGGGTCCCCAGGTCGCACCCTGCACTTTCCCGCAAAATATCAAGGAAGAGAGCACCTATTGCCTATATGAGCAACCCAAGTGTCCCAAAGCGTCCACCGCCGAAGATCTCACATATTCAAGATTAACTTCTTCTTGTACAGTCAACGATGGCGGCGGCACGGGGGGCGGCGGGGGGTCGGTGCCTGTGCCGGGCTTCTTCCGCTTGTCTCAGACGCACGCACATTCTCATAAACTTTACAGCGCCAACAACGGCCCCCAATCAAACCCTTCTCATTCCCATTTTGGTCCACAACACCCCAGTGATCTGGCTCGCTTCCACTCGCCACCAACCTCTACATCTGCTCCGGCCACGGAGAAGAAAGGGAAGGACGTCGAGGAAGCCGCAGATCTGCCGCCCCAAGCTGCTTTGGGCACCGAGGAGGGGCGCGACTCCTCGGAAGGCGAAGCCTCCTCTGCAGAGGAAGCAGAGGAGAATGGGAAGGAGAGTGCAGCAAAGGCCAATAAAGGTAATCATAGCCCAGTTCAGGTGTGGTCGGCCTTGTTTTGGTGAAAAAACAGGTAGAGTGACGATTTTTAATGGCACCTGTCAGGTCTTAAATAATGCAACCGGTTTTTTGCATTTACTCAATCATATTTAGTTACTTAAACAATTGTTTCATGTTAGCAGAGTAGGACATAAAACAACCGTGTTAAAGTAACTAAATATGATTCAGTAAATGCAAAAATCGGTTGCATATGTTTATAAACACATGATATTAAGCACAGATCACTAAGATTATAAGAATTATTTATAATAAAGTACAAGCTAATAACTTATCATTTAGATTTGTCTATCAAAAAATTATCACGTCAGATAATTTTTACATTTTGGGATTAAAAATTGATCGTAGCGTAAATTGGTGCAAAGGCCTTAGTTGGTTTTGGCACTAGGAATTATTTACTTAGAAATTTCTTTAAATTTAACATGTTATCCCCTCTGCGCTGTAGGTACAAAAGTTGTCTGCAGATATAGCAGCTTAAAAAAAACTATAGATTGAAATATTTTAAAGACACTGGCTAAATTAATAGGCTAATTTAATGATAATTTTAATAGTTGGGATTTAATAGGCCTCCGCTTTAATGCAGCATGTTTGTTTTGGTGCGTTTATAGCTACAGTCCCCCCGCCACATATTTGCACCAGAGAAAAAGAAAATCAAAATAAACCAATAAATACAGTGAACTCAAAAACTAAAGATTAAATATAAACGTCTACTATCTCAAATCTACACATTAGTCTTTAAATATTGTTTTACATAAGGGCATAGTGGCGCAAAGGCAAAACTACACTCTGGTACATTTTTGTAAGATGCAACTACTTTTTCTTAAATTTTCATACCTATATATTTTCATATATAAACAAAATCTAGATATTTCAATCTAGGCAATTTACATTTATGTAAATGCATAAATTGTTATGCTTATGTTGACAAAAAAAGCTTTTGCTTAGACTATATAGGCGAGACTTAAAACACGTTCAGTGTTTTTGAGGATAACATTTCTTAAAATTTAAAATCTATTAATGCAGCTACATAAGAGTACGCACATATTTCCCACGCAAACCTTTTTTGGTGAACTATGTTTTCCCGGCGAGCACTACTATGATCTTCTTATTGCACTGCTCTAAAACATCTTTCTCTCTGACATCCTTCTAGGGGACACAAAAGGCGAAAACACGGCAAACTGGCTGACTGCTAAAAGCGGTCGAAAGAAACGCTGCCCCTACACCAAGCATCAGACCCTGGAGCTGGAGAAGGAGTTCCTCTTCAATATGTACCTGACCCGAGAGCGCCGCCTAGAGATCAGCAAGAGCGTCCACCTGACGGACAGACAGGTCAAGATCTGGTTTCAGAACCGCAGGATGAAATTGAAGAAAATGACGCGGGAAAATAGGATCCGGGAGCTCACCTCCAATTATGGATTTTCATGATAAAGAGTCATTAGAGAGAGAGAGAGAGAGATACAAGAAAAAAAGATACATTTATTGAAAGGCTACAATTCATTTCCCGATTCACCCCCACGCACAATGTCTCATTTATCTGAGAGATTCTCTCATCGCCCTTTATCGTATCTGACCTACTGAGAAAACCGTCCTTGGGTGTTTTAGCTCTGACTGTTTTTTGACGTGTTTTTGTATTATTACCTCTGTCGTGGGACTGGATCGTGTTGTTAAATCAGTGCAGTTACACCCCCCTCCCTCCCCCCAACACACACACACACGCGCGCGTAAAAACGCAAATTATTCACCATGCTTTATTTTTTTGTTGGGTTCATATAGATTCAATTCCTATTGGGCTTACTTCTAAATTTGAAATAAATAAAAAATTTCTCCATTCTGAGAATTTGAAATTGCGTGACAAAAATAATAATAAAAATCCTCTAAAATGCACAATTACCACAATTAATATTGAGTCAATGCAAATCAGTCCGAATGTGATTAGATGTGTGGTTTCCTGATATCGGCCGTCTCTATATGTACCTCATACATGTATAAATTGTAACTTTATTCCTACTAGGAAGAAGGAGGAATATTTTTGTTGTATATTTCTGTGTATAGATGAACCTGTATTTTTTTTGTTTTGTTTATTTGTTTATTGTGTAATGTCCAATAAATTATCAGCTCGGACTCAGGACTAGCTGCCTGAATTTGTGGCTATAATTATATGTTTTGTTAAAGAGGTTTTTTTAAAAAAAAAAAGTGTTTCCTGAATAAATAATCAAACTAAAAAAAAAAAATCAAACAGACTTCCTAGTACTGCGGATTCTTTTGTTTTGTTGAGAATGGAGCGTTTCTGAGACTGGCTATCGGAAATAATTAAGATATTAGGCTGTATAAGCCGCCCTGCTGCATGCCCAGCCGGCTATTGTAGAGTTTTATGACTGGCTGGTATATGAGCTTTCTCCCTCTCCTCGAAGAGCTGCTTCAGTCGTGAGAGAGCCTTTCACACGGAGAGGAGGCCTGGCTCACAGGCTATTAAAATCCGAATGCATTGTGGATAAACTGTTCCAATGCGCTTCTGTCTGGGATTACAGGAGATAAACACATTGAGGATTCGGGTGAGTCCAATCGCCTTTGTGATTCTGGTTGCTTTTTGGTTTTGTTTTGCTTTGTCTTAGAGACACATCTAGACATGGAATATGTAGAATGCTGTATAAATGCGCGCTGTTTTGCTTTTTTGAAACATTATGACGGAAGTGATCACCAAGGCGCATTGCGAACCGGCCGATTGTGTTCCACTTGAGGCCCCTGATCGACTGTCGAGTGGTTTAGGTAGTTTCATGTTGTTGGGGTCCATTTCCTAACTCTGCAACATGAAACTGTCTTAATTGCCCCAGTTGGAAACGTCGAGAGCAAGCAGAAGGCAGCTTGGAGAAATGAGGATGGTGGGAATTATGTGTTTATTTTTTTTTATACACGTGAATATGTGTTTAGATGGATAGGTAATAATTTAGGGAGGGGTTTGTTTGCTTTTTGTCTGGGTCTAATCTCTTCCTTATTTTCCTTGTATTCCCTTAAACGTGTTCTTCAATATGGTGAAATAAAATATAAACTGCATTGGTGGCTGATATATGTGATCAACAATCAGGCGCAGCGTGCGTCTGAGCTTTAGGTATTAAGCTTTATGGCGTTTTCTGCTGGTAGTAGTGACGCAGACACGCCAGACAAGGCCTCGGTTACGACCACTGCAGCAGTGGAGGGGAAGGGGAAGGTGAATGGGGCAACAGCGACCTCCGCGGGCAATGAGACCGGATGCTTCCGCTGCGCAATGGTGGCTCCCAACACAAAAGGAGGAGGAATGGGGGGCTTTATGGCGATTTTCAGATCCGCCAGACAGGCTGTTATCTGCAGAAGCAAAAGAAGTGAATAGCCCCTGCGGTAAACCGCGGGGGTTGAAAAAGACACTCTGATTTAAAAGCTTTTACAGCCCTGAGAGCCGTTGGCGAAGTGGAGTCTTTTCCTGCTGCAAAGGTGTTTGTCTATTCTTGTTTGTCCATACGAGGTTTTAGTGCACAAATAGGCGCACTGCAGCTGCTCATGTCCTCTTCTCGGTTGTTTGATGTCTGCTGGTCAGAGACTCTGCAACTACAGCAAAGAAGGGATAAGAAAACAGATTGCACATTTTGAACACCTCGGAGTCTTTCCTATCCCACATCCTCTTCTGTATGCAGTGCAGAATGCAGAGAATCTACACGGCTTGAATTCCCTGTGGTGTTGTAAGGGTGTTGGCCAGACTCTGTTTATATGCTTGCATGAAATAAAACACCAGACTCGTGTAGCAAAACCCAAAGTTGCAGCTTTTAAACCCATACGACTACTTTAAGGCAAGGATATAATAAAAAGAACTCATAAAAGCAAACCTCTTTTTTTCATTGGGTTTGCTGTTTTGTGCACCTGGTAGGCCTAATAAATATATTACTACGAGACAATATTTCTAAACAATTATTAGTTCATTCCACATATTAAAAATACAAAATTTCAAACATTTTGGATATATATGAATATAAGCCTTTCCATGATATTAATTTATGTTTAACATTTCTCACGTGTGGCATTAAATGTCTGCAAATGTATTTATGTGTTTAGACGCTCCAGTGTTACTACATGACCTTAAACTGATCAGCAGCTTTTAAAAGGGTGGAGGGTGAAAATTACCCAGACCACAGTTCAAATGAACGTAAGCTCCATTTTAAAGGTAACATCGAGCTGCTGGCAGGTTTTAAGAGTCCGTTTGTTAATGGCGGCGATGAAACCAGCATGCAAAAGGGGAGCGGGTGATAACGGCGGTGTAAACAGTACAGGGCGTTGAGTTAAAAACAGTCTGGGACTCTATTTATCATTTACCGTGATTGTTCTAAATACATGTAACTGAAATTAAATACATTATTTTCGCCTTTCTTTTTATTCTTCATCAAATGATGTAAAAGGGTTCATTTAGTGTGTATTATTGCTTACTGCTAGACTGCAATCGATTTTTTTTAACGTTTTACTAATACAAGGATTTAATGTTTATATTTCTAACTTAAACCTTTATCATATAGGGATCAAGAACATCTAAATTACACCACTGCAATTTAGATTTTGTTTGTAAACAAGGTTTTGCATATCACAAAATTAAGGAAAAAAAATAAACAAAGAACGGATACTTTTTTCCTCCACGATAGATAATAATTAATTAATTTATTTAAAAAAATCAGTACATTAAACAAAAACTAAAGGACTATTTATGGGTCGCCACCCGTCTTTAATTGAGGCCTTCTTTATTTAGTTAAACAATTATAAAAATTATTATTTGAAAAGTTGAATGTGTAGAAAGTAAGAGCCTGCGCCTCAGTTGTTTCCTACCCCGTGAATCAATGAATTGCTTACGAAATTATACCTTTTTCTTTAGTTTAACACATTTATTTACTAAATCGGCGTCATCTAACTGACTAGATAAAAATAAACCCAAACAAACTGTTAGAGGAAAATATCTCACCACCTTTTCCTTTAATATTATGTTCCCAATCCCTTATTTATATTTAAAAAGCGGCTTTGAATTAATAGAATGATAAACCTTAGAATAAAAAAAATGTAGAATTTCCTTAAAATTTAAATCCTTTCTTTAAAAGTTACTAAAGTCATAATAAAATTAGGGAGCAATAATAAAATTACTCGTGAAACGTAGGTTTAAAAATATCCTGCACCATTGAATAATAATAATTATAATAATATAATTTCTAAAATTTGTACAACAACCAATGAAGCTCCGATAGGAAAGAAAATAAAACAAATAAAAAAACTCGCACATTGGAAGATATTTCCCTGAGCTCACGGAGTCCAAATAAAAACAGAGCGTAATGTGTTTTGCTTGTAATTTATCATCTCACTACTTCAGTATTCTAGTTGCAAAGTTCCTATTTAATACGCTGGATTTTTTTGTTAATGTGTTTTGGATACCTGCAGCAGCGGGGCGCTTACTTGTCCAATAAAATATCTCGTAAAATAAGCTTTCCAAATACATATTGTAACGTTTTGGATAACTAAGCAAAGGATTTGAATGGCTGTAAGTAGCACTGTTATTGTTGACTTTTCTTTTTTTTTAATATTCATTCATAATTTTATCTCTTTCTCTGCAGATGTCCAAATCCTGATCATTTATAAAAAACAGTGCTTGTTATAGCTGAACAGGCTGAGTATTTAATGACTGCAAGGATTGATTTATCTTTTATTGTTCAGCTTTATGATCACGTGTCTCAGCTGCCCAATGGCATGGCTCCTTGGCTCCCCATTACTTTCCTCACTGTAGTTCTCCGTGCATGGGGCCAAGTTGCTACTTGATTTCTCCACATTGTTATTTTGTGAGGCTGCGCTTTACTGCGCGTGCATATATGTGTGTGTGCTTTGGGGAATGTGTGCTTTTTGTTTTCTTATGCTTGTATCTTATTGTATGACTGCGTACATGTAAAATCGGTCTAATTTCCCTGCCATGTCGACGTCCGGAGCGCTCACGAGCTACTACGTCGATTCCCTCATCCTAGCCGAGAGCGAGGAGCTCTCCGCCCCGAGGTACCCTCCCGGTGCCGGGCTCCAGCACCCGAGACAGCCCGCCTCTGTGGTGGATCACAGCGAACTCGGTAATTGCGCCTTCCCGTCCAAACCTCCCGTGTTCGGGCCATCATGGAACCACGTCCCAGCTCAGTTCCCAGGCACCGTCTCCTCAGTTTATCACCACTACGGACATCCGCAAGGCCCGATGGGCGCGGAAACAGACGGCCGCTACCAGTCCTGGCTCCTTGAGCCAGTCTCTATGCCCGGATTACCGACGAGCCACCACCATTACGCCATCAAACCGGAGGGTCTGGGAACGCCGCCGGGATCGCACACGACGCTACTGCTCTCCGAATACACCAACGGCACAGTAGCGACACCGTCACCCGGAGAGAAGGACGAGCTGTCCGCGCAAGGAGGCGAGCTGAGCGCAGATGGAGAGGACAAGCCGGGCCTGGACCCAAGTAAGTCACTCTGCTGCCCGCTCTTTTATCTTAAAACTATTTTTATTCATAAAAGCATTGAGGTGAGAGGTGCGCAATGTCAGATGGCATTCTGAACATGCCATTACCTTATGGAGGCTGTCGAGGGCTCACGTTGCAGTATCAGATGTTATGGAGTGCAGAAAGGTGGACAGCTGTATTTAGCATGGCACAACTATCACTTTCACCTCTGTTACTGAAGCATTATTATAGGATTATTATGATATTGATCATTTTCAGAAATTAGAACCAGTGTTTAATATTTCCCCCAAACATATATTTCCAGATAATCCTGTGTCCAACTGGCTCCACGCCAGCGCCACGAGGAAAAAACGCTGCCCTTACACCAAGCACCAGATCCTGGAGTTGGAAAAGGAGTTCCTCTTTAACACCTACCTGACCAGGGATCGCAGGTACGAGGTGGCTCGGCTGTTGAACCTCACCGAGAGACAGGTCAAAATCTGGTTCCAGAACCGCAGGATGAAGATGAAGAAATTTAACAAGGACGGCGCGCCGAAAGACGAATGAAAAGCGCGCAGATTGGCCTAGGATTACTTTTGGGCTGTGAGCAGAATCAGCTGGACATCTGTTTTTTTTAAACTATCTTGTCTTACTGTACAATATTACATCTTCAAGGATTATTTGTCAAGTAAAGGAAAAAAAGCATGTGGGAGATTAGTTTGATGCTACTACCTTTAAATTGCACAATTTTGACAGTTCCCATTGTTTTCCTTTGTTTGTTTTTAATTGTCTACGTTGATTTCAATTAATACCTCGTTAAAGTGTTATATTAGTTGGCCTGCTCCTTTAAATATGCTTGGTTGTGTAAGGATGTTCCTAGCTAAGAGAGAGTGTGTGTGTGTGTGTGTGTTTGTCTGTGTGTGTGTGTGTGTGCTACGTTTAGTTATAATTTGTTGTCTACACGTATAGTTTGTGGAAGAAATGTGTAAACTTTGTTGTTTATCCGTAAGTGATAGAGCTATGACAGATGACCATGAATTTGATACTAACTATAGAACCGTAGGGGTGGGGTGGGGGGTGGGAATAGCTCGCATTTGTGTCTAAAACGCTCAGATTTCTAGAAAGATTCCTAAAATATCTTATCACAGGTATCATTACTATCATTGACTACCTATATATTTCAACTACCTACAATATGTTTGTTTTTCTTTAGGCGTCAGATCAAAAGTAGGGTTGCTATCACTGTATAAACACGTTTGACTGAATTTCAGGGACTGACATTTTCCAATTAAGGGACACCATGTTTGTTAGTGGGAGCAGAGGAAACGCTGTAGGCTGCTCACTGAATACCTCGCACGATCTGCTGACCGGCTGACGTTTGGTCATACATGTAATTTGTATTATTTATTAAAATAAAACAAATTATATCTTCAAAGCACGGAACTTAGACTCCTTTTTTCTTTGTTTTTCATTTATAAATGTTCTATGCGTAAAAGTATCCACAAGTTAGTCTGTGCCATGTTGATTTGGATAAGCAGGAATATTGAGAACTGTTGTCTTGAATGTATTTATTTGTGCTAATACTTTTGGATAGTTTTTTTTTACGTACTCAAAATGAATTCATAGCTGATTATTTCTATCTGTTAGAGTGTGTGTTTTATTTTGTGTGTGCGTTTTGGGGACAGAGTTGCTTCTTGGCAGAGGATGTTGTTAGCTGTATACAGCCATAAAAGACAATTACGGCTATAACCTTTTATGGGGTGCAAAGCGCTGAAAGGCGAGAGGACACACATGCACGCGCACATACACGCTCCCTCACACTAGTAAGAGACAGCTGAAGCTCAAAATTATGCACCCGGTGTGTTTGTGTCCAGCTAAGCACAGATATGACGAGCTTGAAGCTTTACGCAGTGAACAGACGCTCAGTTTAAAGGGTTTGGGTTCGAACACTATTATAATTATCTTCAAACCAAATATCTAGCAGTGAAATATATCTTACTGCTTTTATGTTGTAAATCGGCATGTTTTTTATGGCAGCACTGGCTCAAGTCTCTACATGCTCGAGAAAGCATTTGGTACACATGTTTTTGCGCAAATTCCAGTATCCTGGGAAAAAAAAACCCAAACAGACAGGAGAGGGAAAAAAAGGGTAGATATGCTTGTTCTTCTAAGCTTAAATTGAGTCCAACACCAGTGCTGTTGTGACGCGTTTGGGGTGGACGCAGATGGACCCAAACTTCAAAGACTCGGCCAGAGACTGTCATAAAAACGCCTGCTCTGCTATACACTGTCTGGCATTCCAGTTTTAATGACTTTATGGCCGTCCAGACACAATTAGGCAGTTTCCAGAATGACACCCATTTGTTTTTTACCCCCTTTTCTTTGGGATCTGTGACAAAAGGCTGAGCGGAAATGATCAGCTTTATTGGATCCCTGTCCGATCGGAAAAGGAGAAGGACTCACGGTCATTTGGAGCTCTTTTGTTTCCAGCTGGGAAACTTTTGCTATTTGCTTCATATGTACACATACAAATATATATATATATATATATATATATATATATATATATATATATATATATATATATATATATATACACACGGGCGTGTGTATACATGTATACATACATATATATATATGTATGTATGTATACATACATACATACATACAATGTTTTCCTCTCCTAACAGAAAACTAAAAAACAAACATATATATGAACAACCTTTGAAGTTGCTCGTGAGTATCAAGAGTTTTTACACTGTTAGCTGTTTGAAATATCACAACCATGGTGACACGGAAATATCTGTGTTCATCTATGTCATGTTTACATTCCTGAAATAATTAAATGAAAGTGAAAAACGTCGGTGCAGCAGGGATCCTGTCGCTCCCACGTTGCAGTACCTGGAAGTTACCAGAGGGGGGCGACACTTTTCCATCAACCTCCCTTAAGCTCTTGCTTTTTAAACTGCTCCTCCCAGTGAAGCGGCACAGAGGGAACGAACTGCAGTAAGATTTTAAGAGTAAAGGAAAGTTATTTCACACCTTTTTTACAGTCTCACCGCAGAAGATGGCTCCTGACCCAGCAGCTCTGTGAGGGGAAACATCGACACAGGCTAGATCTAATTGTGGGACTGCTGCCGGATGACTGCCGCTCATGCGCACAACGAAGGTCCATATGTTTACCTACATTTCTTTCCTTCCTCAGAATATATTAAGTTGCCTATTTATTTATTCTTTAATATATCGTTTTATATATTTATTCTTCACCAATTTTATCTTGAACTGAACAACTTGGACAATATAGAAAACTCAAAGCATACCCCCTTAACATTAAGGTTACTATATGTCGATTATATTTTAATATTGCTTTGTTATTTATGTTTTTCTTAAAAGGATATTTCAATTCATTACTCAGTGTAAAATAATTCTCCAATTAACAGTAAAAAGGAATGACGCTGCAACAGATTACTCTTGAAGATATAGCAACAAAAAAGGGAATAACATTTTAAGTGCACTTAATATTACATATATCTAAGTAACATGAGTACTGGATTTCTTCATCTTCTTTTTCATATGATAATGAGGATTATGTTTGTTATTATTATAAGAAATAGGTGGAGCATTTTTTTACCATTGTCTTTTCCATTTTATTTTACTAACTATAGCTGTAGGCAACAAATGATTGTTTTTCTAAAGTTGTTTTTCATTTTTTGAAATTCCTCGAATTTCATTTTTCAATTGTTAGAAAAAAGATTAAAAAAAAGCTCAAAATGAAAATTAAAAAGATATCAGAAATAAATAAATAAATATATATGTATATATATATATATACATATATGTGTATATATATATATATGTATATGTATATATATATATATATATATATATATATATATATATATATATATATATATATATATATATATATATATATATATATATATATACATATACATATATATACATATATATATACATACATATATATACATATATATATACATACATACATATATACATATACATATATATTTATTTATTTATTTCGGAGATCTTTTTAATTTTCATTTTGAGCTTTTTTTAAATCTTTTTTCTAACAATTGAAAAATGAAATTCGAGCAGGAATTATTTACTGGTTTATTTGAAGCATATTTCTGATCCTAACTATCGTGTTAGTTAAGTTTAGGAGCATGAAGTACTGAATTTTTAAAGAAATCGTTTAAATTAAAATTATTATATTAAAATTAAAGTTATTGTTCCATTTCAAAATTCAAATCTTTAAAGCACGACATTATAAAAAGTGTTACAATCAGTTATTTTTTTATATTACTACCACAGCTCCAAATAAAATGAATTCATTTGCCATAATTTTGGTTCGAAATAAGAGTCAGGTGAATATGTTGTTTTTAAAATGATTAATTACCTAAACATAAATAGTTAGCACACTATCATATATTAATTTATATAAGATTAGTTATGTAATATAAGAAAGTGTTAGCTAGAAATTTAAAATGCAAGAATTTGGGCTCTTGGCGGGGAAGGAGATACAACAGGAGGTTTAATTGCTTCTCTAGATAATTTAGATAGTCAGGATTTCTCTCACTGCGCGTTTATTCGAATCTACGTGTTTTCTTGGATGAGGTGTTGATCCATCTCTGCGGTCCAGTGCCGTCTCCATATCCACGCCTCTGCTGATTGGATGAGAGCAGCCGGGGCCTGAGTCACATGGCTGAGTTCTTTGGTCCAGACTAAAAATGGGGTTTGGTGTAAATCTAGGGTGTATTGCTGTCATATATCACGCTACCTCGTAAAAACGACACAGAGGATTCTGAGCCAACAAATCCGAGCGTGAGGAAAAAAGAAAAAAAAATGAGTTCTTATTATGTGAACAGTCTCCTTTACAATTCTGTACCGGATAGTTCTCTGTTTCCGATCTCAGAAGGAGCTTGTTGCGGGGTTGGACCCGAGGGGAAGGACCATCGGACTGCGGCCATCGCTTTTGCGCCATCGCTTTCTGGCGTTTACAGCTTCAGTAGCGCAGCGTTCCAGGACCTGAATCCTTTGTTTTCCTCGGCAGATGGCCAGAGACCGGACATACACACTTTGGACCTCAGCAACCCGTTTGACCAAGGCCGCCTGATCAGCGGGAGCTGCTGCCATCTAGGGCCGGGAGCCCCTTCCTCACCCCAGGACAAACAGTACCGGATGTTCCCATGGATGCGGGCATCAGGTATGTTCTACCCTAAAACCACATGACCTTAGACACAATGTGATACTTAGAATGGACCTTACCACTTCGATTAATATCTAGCAGCTCATTCCTGTTGCATCGTAAAACTTTTATTGCGCAACTAATGAGTTCTGCAGCCATAAATTCATTTGGAAAAGCTCCTGTGTATTCACTATAGGCAGAGACCTTGCCGCTGGGGCTTTTTCCTTTGCACTCCTATTACTCTTACAGCCTTTTCTCCCCCTCTATGGCTGTAAAAAAAAAAAAGCTAGGCCTGTGGTGTAAATCAGCTCCCCTGCACTCTGCAGCTTCTTTCTAATTGAGTCTGTGCCGCAGAGACTCTGCTCCTCTCTGAAAAACCGGATCGATATGAATCACAAATATATCTCAGATAGATTTAGAGCACAATGAAGCTTTGTTTTGTATTTTTTTTTTTATTATGCCAAAGAAAACTAGCGTGACTGTGATTCAGTTGAATGCCTTTTTTTGTTTGAAGGCTTGCAGGCTTGCAGACTTTTTAAAATGAAAAGGCCAATAGAGGTTCGGATGATGCAGAGTGCGCCAAACATCCCAACAGCATTAGTTTGAAACCCTCCTAGAAAAAAAAAATACAATTGAGTATGGTAAAACCGTGCTCATTCTGGCAAATTTAAATCAATAAAACAAGAAAAAAGAAAATAAGCAAAGAATGAAATTGCAACTAGAAAAACGTTTTTTCTGCAGCCTCAATTTTTTTTTTTTTTTTTTTTTTTTTGGTTTAGTTGTTTTGACAGTCAAAAATCATGAACATATGCATTTAATTTATTCATTCTGTTCCATATCCTCTGCAGATCCAAACCGTAGACGGGGCCGACAGACCTACTCCCAGCACCAGACCTTGGAGCTGGAGAAGGAGTTCCACTTTAACCGGTACCTGACCCGCAGGCGGCGGATAGAGATCGCGCACGCCCTCTGCCTCTCGGAGAGACAGATCAAAATCTGGTTCCAGAACCGCAGAATGAAGTGGAAGAAGGACAACAGGGATGAGTCCAACAGTATGGAGACAAAACACGGAGACACTATGGCCACATCCGGAGATGGAGATCCTGACAGGACAGACCCAGGGGATCCCAATCATTAACAGACACAGATAAAACAACAGAATCATTACTAATTTCCAGGGATTCATTCTTGACTTTTCATTGGTGCAAATAGGCCTTGTTGAGAGATAAAATTATTTAAATCTTAACATATTAAAATTTTAGATCCCCAGAAGCTACACACCTAAAGAAAATTAAGAATAATGGCCGTAAAAACATATTTGCTTTATTTTTATATGCAGCTTTATAAACAGAAGTTCACACACATATGACTGAATACTAATGAACTGCCATTCCTTTGAACGAAAACTACGACTATCTTTCTTTTTTAAATAAAAGTCGACAAACTTTTTTTTCGTTCAATTTTTAAGTTGGAAATTATACTGCTTGGAGCATAGATGCGCCTTATGACGAGGCAGATGTGTGCTTCAGTTGTTATTACTAAGGAATAAAGCTAGTAGCCTACTACTAAAATGTGTTGGTATTTCTAAAGAAACGAGCGCGCTATGTTACCTACCTCAACTTCCCAGACATGTACACACACACACACACACACACACACACACACACACACACACACACACACACACACACACACACACACACACACACACACACACATAAATATATATATATATGGTATATTTCTTATAAATGTATTATAAATAATTTGCAAATACAGTGACGTTTCGGCTGACTGTTTAAATAAAGCGACATTTTATTGAGAGGGATACAATGTGTCATTAAATGTCATTTGGTGCATTTGGTGCAGAAATTTTAATAAAGAGAAGTTTCATGCCTGAATGTGTTTCTTAAACACCGATCACCTTATGCTGTACTTGCGCTCCAACATCACCCACATACACTCCTGTGCGATTATATATATATATATATATATATATATATATATATATATATATATATATATATATATATATATATATATATATATATATATATATATATATATATATATATATATATATATATATGTATATATATATATATATATATATATATATATATATATATATATATATATATATATATATATATATATATATATATATATATATACAGGTATATATATATATATATATACCTGTATATATATACATATATATACATAATTGTTAATGAAAGCCACCCTGGCAGGTTGCCCGGTCACATTTGCAGATTATTCTTAAAGCGTTTTTGCGTAGAGGTTAAATAAACAGTGAAGGTAAAGAATTTTAACTATGAGGATGTGAGGTAGGACTGGCTGCATAGATGTTGATCTCTGTGTTCCCTCTTCTCTCGGTAAGATGGCGCCTGACGACCAAACTCCCCTCCCCTCCTTTCCCTTTCTCTCTTATTCTGTATCCCCTCCCCTTTCCATCACCCACCCCCTCTCTCCCACCCTCCATCCTCAGTGCCGGGCCATAAATCCGTTGTTGTTTATGAAAATTTACAACACACCGCTTCAACTTTACGAGTCGACTCAGCCTCCTATTGGCTGCACAGCCTGATCACGTGTCTTTGAGCCGTGAACATGAACTTTTTATATATATATATATTTTCCAATAGCAGAATAGAGCAGCCTTTCATTTAGAGGACTCAGGCTTCCTGGCTCTCCTCTCCTTACCAGCCACCGTTCTTATATAAGCTGTTTGGTCTTCCTAGTTTGGAGTATACTGTGGGTATTTCTTTCTTCTTTTTCAACAGTACAGACTCAGATTTTGGGATTTATACACTGAGTCATGAATGGATATTTGGGGGCTTCTGTTATGCCTTGGCGGGAGAAATGGAAGGTGCCGCGGTGCGTCACTGACCCCCAGGAGTCCCGGCTTCCGTCTTGGGGCTTAGCTGGAGACTTTCCCCTCAACCCTTCATTTGTTCTGTTAACACCCAGAGGCCGTCACAAGCACAAGGTAGGGAAGCGGATAATGGCAAGCTGCACTTGTTTGTGCGTGCTTATGAATTTGCAAAAGTAAATAATTCTCCCATTATTTAAACATGCTATGTAGAAATTAATGACAGATTATCTTATTAGTATTAAAGAAATATATACTACCATGCTCCTGCAAGATTGAACTATGTTTTTAATAAAGATTTTAGTGCACTATAGTAACCAATTTGACTTAATTTGTGTGTTGTTTTGCTTTTAATGTGGTCTACAAAATCCAAACGTGCTCTTTGCTGCCCTCCTGTGGAAAAGCTTGGTATAGATTTTCCAAGTCTGCGTTCAATGAAGGGTTTGAAATCGGTTATTTCTCATGATTTAATTATGGACGTGTTTTCCATTTTATCGATGAGTTTTAAAAATTTACGCTTTTGTTTGGAATGAAATGACAAGCTTGGTTGGATTGAACTGCGAAACTGAAAATCTCTGCTTGGTGCCAGGACATCATAGATTTGATATCCGTTTCTGTTCTAACAGTATTTGTTTCTTGAAATATTATTACACTACATTAGATTATACAGCCTTCAAATGTTATTGCGCACATATTGAATTTAATGTTTAAAGGCAATGGGGATATTGATGCTGAGCTGCAAAAAAATGCTTGGAAGAGTAAGAAATCTTTGCAGATTACCTTCACTTTTTCATGGAAGTGCTTTGTTATTTTATTTGCAACCAAGTTTTTATATATGGTTGTCTTAATTTTAGCAGAACCCTGAGGCGTTATGGCTTCGGTTGTTGTGAAACAAATAATTGGATGCAGACTGTAAAAAAAAAATACGGCGGTTGAGTTCTGTCTGTGTGTGTTTCTATTAATCTTTTGTAATGTTAATATTTTGCATGGTGTGTTGGGTGCAGGTCATATCTGAGCACTTAGAATAAAATATCGATACATTTATTGAAGCGCACACGTATTCATCAGTGTCGAAATTTACATAGAGGACTCAATGGCCTTTGCTAAACGCAACAGATTTGTATCTCCCGATGTTATAGAACATTTTTTCGCCCAAACATAACGTGGTTCTTGCACATTAGCAAAAATATTTATTAAAGCTCTGCATTTATTTCGGGTTTAAGATAAAATCTGCTTCATATACGTATGTGACAGTATATGCAAAGGTTAAATATCTAAAGAAAGTGCCCAAAAATATGTTTTTTTTTTTTTTATTTAACTGTGGTGCTTTGATTTGTTATATTGCAGCTGCACAGTTCCATTTATATTGTAAGAATGACAAACGTTTTTTATGCCTGCAGAATGTCCTACTTCGGCCCACTCTTTTTCTTCTTTCCTTTATTTTGGTCTTTCTCGAGCTGCTGGGTGTGTCCTTTCTTCACCTCAAACGAGTTTCGTGGGAACTTTGTTGTCATTGGCCAACTCATAGATTACCTGCTGAAGCATGGGGCTTCTGGCTACTAATTTAAAGCGTGGATCTTGGTTTTAGGCCCATGTAGGCTACTGCAGCATCTATTTAGCACTCCTGGTTTCTGTGCTGCAAAAAGATGAACATATACCTCGTCTTTCTAATTTCATTATAATTTTTTTTTAACAAAGACGAGGGATTGGGCTTTTGCAGTTGAGGAATAAAACACAGCAGCTCCGGGGGTAGGAGAGGGAATGAACAACAGAACAAGTCTGAGCCTCTGAGAGGCGAAGGTACCATAAAAATTCCAGAAGGGAGAAAAAAACAAAACGAATTGGGAGCTGTGGTCTTTGCACATGTGCTCGGCTTTATGGACTCTTCTATGCTTTCATGCACAAGGCTCTGATATTCTCTGCTTTTTGTTTCATTTTATAAGAATTCTGCAGCAGATGTATAAAAAAAATACTATGGATAGAGCCTTGGATTGGGATTTGGTCAGATATAAAAAAGAAAAAAAAAGAAGAGAAGCGATTGTTCTTCATTGCCATTTCTCCTACAAATGTAGAATTCTGGCCATATGTTTGCAATGTGTATTACACACACACACACACACACACACACACACACACACACACACACACACACACACACACACACACACACACACACACACACACACACACACACATATATATATATATATGATCAGATTTGCAAGAGGAGTATGTTTAATGTGTGCACGGTTAGGGATAGATATAAAGGGATGAAAGAGACTGGAAATCAATGCAAGTCTATGGGAGTTAACAGATGGTTCTCCCGTCATATAGCAAGACGAGAATGTGTGTGTGTGTGTGGGTGTGTTATCGAACATTAATTTATATGGAAAAAATCTCCACTCTTTCAAGTTTCTTATAAAAACGTAACCTCCCTTATCTATCCTTGTTAACATCCCGCACCAATACCAACTTTAGATATAAGGCTTAACGGAGGACTTGCCTCTAAATAGGACTGAAATAAGGTCGTGTAATGTGCGCACAAAGGTCCTCCTAATAGCCATCATCTAGAGTATCTGCTGATTTGCATTGTTCCATCCTAACCTGCTTATAAACTATGTTTTTGTGCTCATATAAAGCCTGTATGTATGGTATTCATTTTGCCAAAGTGGCACTAACAGCAGGCTCTGAGCGGCAGGCTCTGTAGAATTATTTGATCATGTGCGTGTGATGTTTTCCGCTTCAATCTCCTCTTCCAACATTTCTTCATGAAGTCGTTCGGTTATTTCACCAGTGCAGAAAGAAAAAGTGCAAAAGAGCGAGGCCGTGCTCTGAATGGGGTTTTATTCTATTAACTGTGCCTATTTACAGTCACAACGTGCATAACAGATTTTGATCGAATTATTCCTGTACACTATCTCTGGAGAGATTGCACTCTCAGCATGTCACTTGTTGTATTGTTTAGGAGACCTCTTTCTTTGCCGCAATGGTCGTTAACCTCCGAATGACCCCCGTGTGTGGAGCCCACGCCTCAAAACAGCACCGCAGACAGTCAGTGCAACAGTTGCGCCAGAGGATGGCGCAGCACGACAGTAGAAAAACGCCTCGCAGAGCCGAGGAGCTCATGGCAGGGGAGGCGCGCACTCCCTCCCACCCTACTAGAGTGTTTCCTACGTGCACGAGTTTACCTCTGGAGGTCACCAGGCAGGATTTACGACTGGTCAACAAAAGCACGTGATTCTGCCTCGTACCCCATATTTGGGTGCCTACGTAAGAGAGAATCAAGTCCATGTCCCACTCTCATTTCCATAATTCATCATAAATTGTGCAAGGGTGCAATAGGACGCGCTAAAGCATAAGAGCTACAAATCAAGGAGCTGCGGGTTTATGCTGTTTACTTCTCCTAAAATAATCACAAAACAACAGCAATACCTGCAGCGGACAAAAAGGTGGAACTGTCAACAAATGAGCTCCTATTTTGTGAACTCATTCTGCGGTCGCTATCCCAATGGCGCGGACTTTCAGTTACATAATTATGGAGAACATAATACCGCCAACGAGCAATACAGAGACTCCACTGCCATGCATTCCAGCAGGTATGGCTATGGCTACAACGGAATGGACCTGACTGTCGGACGGACCGGCGGCGGACACTTTGTGGGCAGCGAGCGGACG